TGGCTTCAACCACTGATGGCAAAGACATTGGAGTTGGCTGAAAAGACTTTGAGATCCCACAGCCTCCTGGTAAGACACCTTCCTGAAGTTTTTACGCTGGATCTCCGAGCTGATAAAGTCTTTGGCTGGGTCCTTTGGCTCAGTTTTTATCCTGATCTGCCCAAACGGAGCAAAAGGAGGGCTTTGTCCAGCTTCTGCATCTAATGGGTGTTGTCTCTCCATTTCTTTCCTCTATTATCTAATCCAAGTGCAAAAAGATGCCAACAGCTCCTTGGATCTCCAAGACTGAGGATATGAAACGGGCCAATGGACTTAAATTGCACGAAGAGCCCTGGAGAAATCTCGGTGCGCAATCTGGCCTTCCTCACTTATGAGATAGTTTGATCCACAAACTTCTACCTGCGAGTTTGAAAAGAAAACAAGATTTCAGAATCAATGTTGTATTTTCAGCTGTTTTGTACCTCTTTTTCGTTTCCGGGTGGCACGCAGAGCCATTTCTGAAGGCATGCGAGGCGTTGCCCTGTCAGCTCCAGCATGCTGTGTGCATGCTGGCAAGCTTATTTTTGGCTTTTTCTACCCTCCGGAGGCTTCCCTGAAGCCTCTGGAGAGCAAAAAACCACCCAATGCGCAAACCGGAAGTTCGGGAACAGACTTCAGATTTGTACATTGGGCCGTTCTTCACCCTATGAAGCCTCCAGAGGCCTCCGGAGGGAGAAAAATGGCCCAATGGGCAACCTGGAAGTCCATTCGCGAACTTCTGGTTTCTGTATTGAGCCGTTTTTCACCCTCCCCAGGCTTCAGGAGGCTTCCCTGAAGCCTGGGTAGGGTAAAAAATGGCTGAACGGGCCTACCAGAAGTTCGGGAACAAACTTCCAGGTTGCCCTTTGGCCTATATTTTCCTGAAGCCTGAGGAGGGTGAAAAATGGCCCAACGCACCTCCCAGATGTCCAGAGGCTTCAGTGAGGCCTGTGCGAACTGTGTGTGTGCGTCCGCGTATGCATGGTGGAGATTATTGCATTATGGTTGTGGGGCAGACGTGTGCCCTGCTCCCCCCGCTTTTGGCACACACACACCAATAAAAAGGTTAGCCATCACTGTTCTACTTGTTCCCAACTCTAGGGGGCGCGGTGCTCTTCTCCATTTCAAAGCCGAAGAGCCAGCGCTGTCAAAAGACGTCTCCGTGGTCATGTGGCCAGCATGACTAAATGCCGAAGGCTCACAGAATGCTGTTACTTTCCCACCAAAGGTGGTCCCTATTTTTCTACTTGCATTTTTATATCCTTTCGAACTGCTAAGTTGGCAGAAGCTGGCACAAGTAACAGGAGCTCACTCCATTACGCGGTGCTAGGGATTCGAACCACCGAACTGCTGACCTTTCTGATTGACAAGCTCAGCATCTTAGCCACTGAGCCACCATGTCGCCTATTACATAACTAGATAACATCAACAATGCTAATGGGATTCCCTGGTCGGTCTCCAGAAATACCTGTGCGGCTCCCCTCCACCCCTGGAGTGGAATGCAGCATTTTGAGGGAAAGATGGGGGTCCTTTCCACTCCCCCACACTCCCATTCAGGGACTTTCTCAGGAAATGGGCAGGGGGGAGATGGAGGGCTCCCCCAGAGCCCCTCCTCCTTCCTGGGAATGATGCTGTTTCTTCCAGGGAGGGGGCAAAGGAACACATCTGCTCTGAAACTGTTCTCTCCCCACCACATACACGCAAAGGAACAGTAGGGAAATAAGGGGCCAGGATTTCCCCTGCCTCTTGCTAGGAATCCAAGGACTGGATGAGACCCCCTTGCAGATCCTATCAGGAGGGTCCACCCCCCAGAGAAGAGCTTTCCCACTCAGCAGGCAGCGGGGCAAAAGTCCTAGAGAGGCCAGAGATTAACCTTCTCCCTTCCAAACAAAACTGAAAATGGAAAATGATCCCATCAATAAACACCGAATTAAACGTCACCCAAAAAAAAAAAAACCGTTTTAGACCCTAGAAAGACAAAGAGATTCTCCCGGAACAAGAAATAATAAAGAAGATACTGACAGTGCGTAGAAATGAATAGGCTGACTGTTGAGCTCGAAGAGAAGGGTGAGACGGAATACCACGAAATCTGGGACAGGTTAGACGAGGGAAGAAGGTCGGAACAGAAAAACACAGATAAGAATTGCAGAATATGGCATTGATATTGTACGATAGTTAGGAATTGGATATGAATATGTACTGATAGTAACTATATAATGAAAGGGATTCATAGGTAGGTAATAAATTGTTATTGCTGTAAGATCAAAAAACTCTACGACTATGCCAGAAATCTCGCACTATTAATGTTTATCTAATAAAAACCTTAAAAAAAAAGTTTTAGACCAAAACTCAGAAAGGGTGTATAAAATCACATGTCTGAATGCCAATCTTTCTAGGTAGTCAAGAAGTCGTGCTGAATGTCACTCATCTCGGTCCCCTCTCATTAAAAGCTTTTTTCTGGTGGCTCTGCTTAATTATTCAATTTATTCTTTCACGTGTCGGATCATTGAGAAACCTGAAAGAAATCCAGCAGGGGAGAATTTTCTCCCAACACTGGGGAGGCCTTTGGTGCCTCTACACTGGCGCAGGTGGTTAAATGCAGCACTGCAGGCTACTGCTAGATCAGCAGTTCAGCGGTTCAAATCTCACCGGCTCAGGGTTGACTCAGCCTTCCANGTTCACTTCAGGGTTGACATTTAAATAAGAATAAAAGAGGTACAGAAAACTAGATTTTAAATATTCATGAAAAACTAATACATAATACCTGACAAAAACTAATAAAACTGTTACGTCAGGTATTTCCATATTGCTTTTCGATTGGTGTCATTTGCAATTTTTACTCCATAATCAGCCATGTGATTTTCCCTTAACCATCTTTTCACTGTAGAAGTAGGATCCCATTCCTTTAGAGGTAGGCCGATTAGACTAATAGTCATTACGTTTGATATATCAGAAACAGTTAGCGAACTTCTCTTCTCTGAACAAATTATGTTCATGTTTGAAAAACCCATTTCCGCTTCTATTGAACTTACAGCAACTGTCCTGACAATATTTTTAGCTCTTTGAACACTTTTAGGAATTGCGTAGTTCTGGGAATTTTCTAAAACGTTTTCCACAAAATCTCGATAATCATTAATATCAATTTGGTAATTAAAAATGTCATTAAATTCAAGCAATTGTTCTTCACCTGCTTTCCATGGGACTGCTACTTCTTCAATATTCCAGGATTCTGGTTCCAAAAATTTGAGAAACTGCAATTTAGTCCTGTCTTGAAATGGGCTGCAATCTGTTTTTAAATGTTCACAATCCATTCGTCTTTTCTTCAAATTCATTACGATGTTTTCTAGAAGTCTCTCCCGAGGAAGCCCAACAAATCGGTGATTTTTTACAAATTGTATATTTTTGAAGGTTTCCGAAGTAATTAATTCATCAACTTTTCTTTCGAAGGGACCCTTTTCCTTTTGGAGTACCTGAAATGCTGTAATAGAACTTCTCACAATTTTTTCAGCCTTTGTTATGTCCACATCTTTTGCTTGCAGTTCATTTGAAAGACGAGAAATTTCACTCAGAATATCAATCATCAATGCCAAATCGGTTATAAAATATATATTTTCAAGACGGGCAGCCATACCGAAGTACTTTTCATTTGAATGAAAACAGCGATGTAACGCTGGATAAGCGTGCCACACAGCTAGGGTTGACCTTAAACTACAGGCAGCCCATCTTGGTCCCAAAATACTACCAATTTTTATAATTTCAGTTCCAAGTTGTTCAGATATTTTGGTAAGTTCAATTTGGTTCCTATTGGATTGATGAAAAATAGTATACATCTTATCAATAAATATTTTAAAATGATTGACTTGCTTTATTTCCTTTATCGAATCATCTAACACAAGTTGGAGGCGGTGGTTTAAACAGTGCCAAATTACTATGTTTGGAAATTTTTTGGTTATCCTAGTGCTCACTTCAGATTTCCTCCCAAGCATAAGGCTGGCACCATCGGAGCAAAATCCTACTAAATTTTGTATAAGATAGTTCTCAGTAAGCCCAACTTTATTTAAACTTTCCATAATTGAAGAACATATTGTCTCTGCGTCTTGTTTTTCCAATTCAATGAGCTCAAGGAAAATAGTTGGTGATGTAACTGAATCCTCAACTTTTAAGAAAAGTATAAGAACTGGTTTGCAAGATATTGTTGAGGCTTCGTCAATAATCAAACATATTTTCAGATTATTTTCAATAATTTTAGCAAATAATTGTTTTTTAATTTCTTTTGCAATGAAACCAACTATGTTCACTGCAGTTTTACATGAATGTAATCCTATTCCCATATCTAATCCGTTTTTAATTTGCACTTCTATCTCACCTTCTATGTCTGAAATTGGTTTACATCTTTGTGCCAAGCTGTAAACTGTATTAAATACTCTACAAGCAGCTTGTACATTTTTTTCATTCGTCTTACATTTTGCCTCTGAAGCCTGCTCCATTTCTATTATCTTCTCTTTACAAATATTATGAGCTTTTGATGAAAAATGTTCTTTCATTTTTTTCCTTAGAGAAGCTTGTTTTACCTCTTTAGTTCTCCCTGCTGCCTCGATCTGAAAATATTTCCATTCTTTTGACACATGAATACTTCGCATTTTTAGGAAGTCATGTTTTGCACAATACTTGCAGCCCAACTTTTTGTTGGAAATTTCCATACCGTCATATTTCCCTTTGAAACTGTTATATTGTTGCATTGTCCAGCATTCAGGAAGACTGTTTTCAATTTTGGAGGTATCGTTATTTATTTCTGTAACTGACGGGCTGCTTTTTGCAAGTTGAAGGGGCTGCGCTTGTGACTGTTTTGTATCATCCAAGGCCAATTCTGATACAACTTCTTCCCTTCTTGGTTTCTTACTGATTTTTACTGAAAAATTCTGTGGCCTTTTCATCCTGTTGAAGTCAACTGCAAAAAAATTAAAAAAATGGTTTAATTTGGACACGATTGTGCTTACCAGTAGTCCCTGTACATCTGAGACAACGCAACTAGGCAAACGGCCAAAACGAGAAAAGGAGTGGCTGGGAAGGTTGGGGCGTGGCCAGCCAGTGGTGGGATCAGCTGTAAACCAATTAGAGAGGGCTGTAAAGCACTATGAAGTGGTATATACCGTATTTTTAATTTTTTTGCAGTTGACTTCAACAGGATGAAAAGGCCACAGAATTTTTCAGTAAAAATCAGTAAGAAACCAAGAAGGGAAGAAGTTGTATCAGAATTGGCCTTGGATGATACAAAACAGTCACAAGCGCAGCCCCTTCAACTTGCAAAAAGCAGCCC